GCTAAGACGGGGGGAGCAGCACCGTCACAGCTTCGAGGTATCATGGAGGCGCTTCTCTTTGCTAGGCATGTTTTCGGGATTCAGGCCTTTGATCCTTTGGCGATCAGCAGACGTTGCTGGGGCGCTGGTGCGGCTCGATTGGCTAAAGCCATAAGCAAAGCTGCTGGGTTGAGGGTCTCTGATCTGGAAGCCTTGCATCGGATCTTGGATTCAAGCTCAAATCCTTGGGATCGCCTGTTCGCAGGATGCGCTTTGTTCTGCGTGTATGCAAGGTGCAGGTGGAGCGACGCACAGCATGTGGATTCCTTCAAGCTTGATCAGGGGCCAGACAGCACAAGGATTGAATACATCGAGGCACTGGTCGACGTTCATAAGAACATGAACCGCAGAGGAAAGAGCCCTGTCCTCCTTGAGCTTGTTGCTCCGGGCCTAGGGGTTTGCTCCGAAGGCTGGATTGAGAAGTTTCTTGATGCCCGGTCAGCTCTGCAGCTGACTTCAGATCATGCTTTCATGCCGGCGCCAGATATTACAGGAGCCCCGACCATTAGGGCCCTGGACTCTGACGAGTGCAGTGAGTGGTTGCTTCGGCTGCTCCCTCCTAGGCTCGGGTTGAAGACTTCGTCTCATAGCCTCAAGAGGACCTTGTTGAGCATGTGTGCCAAGTGGGGAATCAAACATGTTGACCGCTTGGCTATGGGAGGTCACAGTCACCCAGGTCGGATGAGTGACGAGTATGCCGATGATGCCATGGCAAGGCCTCTTCGACTTATAGAGATGGTCATCAGAGCCATCCGTTCAGGGCGGTTCAACCCCGACGCCACCAGGGCAGGACGCTTTGTGGGTGGCGATCCAACAGCTGATCTTGCAGATCTTCCTGAAGATGTCCCTTCAGGGAGGCCCAGGGTTCTAGGGAACGACAGGTGCCCCGAGCCCAGTGAAGGCCCACAGGACTTAGATGGCGCCGCAAGCGAAAGGCCCTCGACATTCCATTGCGGTGTCACAGATTCTCCGAGAAGCGGCTCAGCCGCTCCATCTCCCAGTTTTGCTGAGGCAGGGCAAGATGCGAGTGATGAGGAGGTTGCCTCGGCAGCCCCGGGCGGCCCCGCAGCCAGATCGCCAAGCGTTGCCGAGGAAGGACCCGCAGCAGGCGGGGATGAGTCTGATGCATCGGGGGATAGCTCTTCGTCAGAGTCTTCCAGCTCCGATTCTAGTGCCAGCGTTCCTGAGCCGGTGGCAGGACCAGCTCGTTTAATGCACCCGCCTGCTCCACCTAGCGACTGCAGGTTTGTGCAGCACGCGCGGTTTAAGACTTTGCACATGCAAAGGCTGAGGCATGTGAACATGACCTTGTGCGGCAGGATTGCAAAGCCTCCTATTGGGATGCCGGGTGTAATCAGATGGGATACACCGGTTTGTCGTGCCTGCAAGAAAGTTGCTGCAGCCGACGCCCAAAACTGAAGGAAAAGAAATTCCTGCCACGGCCTCTTGAGCTGCGTGCTTGACTATTTGTCGTTATTGCGAGGGTCGCTTCTGCCATGTACAAATCTGAAGCCTTTTGAACTTACGAAGCTTGCGACATGATATGGTCGTGTGCTGAGTGCATACCAAAAGCATCCTTGACAAATTGCCCGAGGAGATCGGCCCGAACAAAAGCCCAGGAGGCCTCGCTCGTCGTGCCATGGCGCTGGTAGATTCCAAGGCCTCCTTCAAGACCCGATGCGTGGACATGTGTGGGAACGACACACTGTACCAGAGACTCGCTGGAAAGGACATCCGCACGTTCTCAGACCTGGCTTTCGCTTGCGGCACACCACAGTCCCCGCCTAGTCAGGATGATTTCCGCAACTTTTCAGACGAGATCTTGGGTGTAGGAGCCAGCCTGGGGGATACAGCAAAGCTCACCCGCTTGCACTTTGAAGCTTCCACCTACGTGATCGCCCAGTTGAAGCAGCAGGTCGTGGGAGACACCACGGATGAGCCAAAGAGACTCCCTCTAGCGGAGAAGGAGGCTCGATACAGAGATTTGAAGCTTCGCTTGCCGGGGCTGATAATACAGGGTGAACTGTTGCCCTCGCACGCTCTTGTGGATGCGGTGGCGCATATGGCGGAGACAAACTGCCTCACATGGTTAGCCCCAAGCAAATGTACGAAGCGTGACCAGGAACTTCGGATCGGTCCCAAGGATAAATCAAAGGTCCTCACCGTCCTCGACAACTCGGTGACCGTCACTGCCCAGCCGGAGAAGATCGTGGCGGACCATAGCACGCCTCTTCAACTTCAGTGGTGTCTTCAGAGGCGTGGGTTAGCGTTCGACATGAATCGCATCATCTCCTGGGAGACCCACGAGAAATGGGTCAGTCATCTCCTTCAATGCTTGACGGCAGACACAGTTCCTGGGTTGTCAATTTTCGCAAAACGGGCTGGT